AGACTTGGGCTCCTCTGTAGACTACAATAGTTACCAGTTTGTTTCTGCATGCAATACAAAGCCCTGCTGTTTCCCTGAGTACCATTTTAGCAATTGTGATCAGCTGGGATATTCTCCCTAACAGTCCTCAGGTTGCAGCTCTAGGGAGCAGGAGGCAGGGAAGTTAGTGGAGAGCCCTCAGCTCTGGAATTTGCTTCATTCATAACAAAGTCTGAGTTTGTTAACCAAGACATAGTGCGAGACTAACCTATTCACTGGAGCTTTCCCCAAACAAGTGATAAGGGTAGTGAGTTTCCTTTGTGGGTTGAGGAATTCTGTTTTGGAGGTGACCATTGTCATTTTTTTTATCTTTTGTGGTGTTTTAAATGTATTGAGAATGCAGCCAGAGACTATTAATAGCCACATACATAATCAGACAAATACATAATGCTGTAATAAACCATACCAATAGATCTGCGCTGAATAATATATGTGCACATTTAAAACGATTCTACATTTTTTGAAGGTTAATTCTAGTGAGTTGTAATACCTACGGCGCTAGTCCAGAGTCAGTAAGTTTTGCTAGTGATTTCAATGGGAGCAGGATCGGGCCCTTAGAGAGCTAAATAAGAATAAATATCCAAGAAGGATTTCTGAAGATTTTAGCAATACCAATTACTGATTCAGTATCACCATTAAAAGCCTGATTCTGCCACTTTTACTCATTCATTTCAGTGGGACTGCACGTATGTTTGAGAGAGCAATTGATCTGGGGGCCAGATTTTTTTAAAGTATTTAGTCATTAAAAGATGCAGATAGGCAACTAGCTTTTTCTCTGCATGCAGAGTTGGAATTTTAATTTTACCTGTCAGCAGAGGCCAAGTTTGATGCAGAATAAGACTGAAAGCATCATCAACTTTCCTATTAGAAAACACTGGAAGGCGGAGAAAGATTCAAATCAGATCTACATCTCTCCATCTAATTACAACTATCTACATATATAAAAGATGAGTTAATCATTGGTTAAGTTAGCAATTAACACAATATAGAATTTTCCTTACAGTGACTATATAAAATTTCTGATTTCAAATTTTTTCTAAGGAGGAGACTCCTTTCTTGTCAGTCTCCAACCTTATCCTTTTATCAAGTTGATGGCTTCCTGAGTGGTGTGGTTGTTTTTTTTTTTATATATTATTCCTCTTTACTACATTTAAGATGCCTATTTTTTGTAAGGTCTCAGAGTAGCAGCCGTGTTAGTCTGTATCCGCAAAAAGAAAAGGAGTACTTGTGGCACCTTAGAGACTAACATATGTATTTGAGCATGAGCTTTCGTGAGCTACAGCTCACTTCATCGGATGCATGCTTCATACCTAGAGCCTTCCCTTTACTTAGTTTGAAGTTCAATGTTCTTCTAAGGTAGACATCACACAGGCATTAAAGTAGCTCCTATAAGTTTGCTGACCTTTATATGATCACTATTCATTAGAAAGCCTAACTTGGCTATTTTAGGACCAAATTCCTTTGGCAAAGTGGAAGGGCTGCTTTATTTATTTATCTCCCTTTGTGTCACAGACTCACGAAAGCTTATGCTCAAATAAATTTGTTAGTCTCTAAGGTGCCACAAGTCCTCCTTTTCTTTTTTGTAATTTATTCCTGCTTTTAATTAGATGCAGCAATTAAATGCTGTTTTATTACACTACATTTTGCCTTTAAAGTTTTCACTGTGCAACCATCACCATCATTCACTTCCACAAATCATGCAACCTTGTACCATTCCCTTTAATAATCTGTGAATTATGCCTTCCCTATTAATTTGAGACTTTTACCGTGTTTAATGTTGCACAGAACCTATATCTTATGTGCACCCAGTGCGTATTTAAGACAATACATTAGTTAAATGACTCCACTGCAGTCTGTTTGTGACACAAAGGGAGATAAATAAATAAAGCAGCCCTTCCACTTTGCCACAGGAATTTTGTCCTAAAATAGCCAAGTTAGGCTTTCTAACCAATAGTGATCATATAAAAGTCAGCAAACTTATAGGAGCTACTTTAATGCTTGTGTGATGTCTATCTTAGAAGAACATTGAACGTCGAATTAAATAAAGAGAAGGCCCTAGGTGTCAAGGGAATGGGCTCTGGGATCGATTATTTCAGAGGTGCCCTCTCTGGGTTTTTTCATTTCAGATAACTAAATAGTTCCGTTTTCACATCGGCTCGTTCTACAGAATTGTGTAGCTGAGAGATAAAATGTAAAACACCATGTGCAGTTTCAAACATACCTTTGACAAAGTCTATTGCTTGAAGCCTCTGCCCCTCTCCCCTCCCCCCAGCAATCATTTATTATAAAGGGGTTTTATGATACAAATTTGATAATCTCCCATACACATTGGCACTGTTCTAATTGGAGTTGTAAGCCCATAAAATTCGAGCCCTTTGTCTTCATGAAGGCCACAAGGTTTTAAAAGATACCATTGTCCTGCCTAAAACCCATAAAATTGTCACTAGGGACTGATTAAACAGTCCTGAATCGAAACAGTGCGGATTTTGTCTAGGTCCTTTTCAAGCATAACAATGCTCTTTTCAACTCCCAAGACAAAAGGAGGTTTAAGGAGCCATTCTCTGGGAGATTCTTCTAAGATAACCCCATCCACATGGAAGACAAGGTGGCCAGCAGCTGAGACAAAAGAGGGGGGGGGGAGGTGGGGAGAGAAGGGAGGGAAGAGAGGGGGGGAAACAGGTGACGAGACAGGGCCATCCTGCGTGCTCCATCCAGGCCACACGAGCCCTTCTGCACCGCACTCTGCAGCTCACTCCGCCACACGTCCTGAATTTACCAGCCGCACCCGTTTCCTCCCTGCGGGCTGGGCCCAGAGCGGGGTTTGTGGGCTTTTCTCGGTGCATCTTTTCAGGGGCTTGGAGATGATCAAACAGCTGATCTGAGGATTGAAAGGGGGCGTTCGCCGCCCAACTCACAAGGAGAGTGCCAGGAGAGAGGGGGCCGGGCACGGCTTGGAAATCAGAAAATAAGTCTCCTGAGAGGCTAATTTCTTCATCCAAAGCCTGCTAGGGCTAGAAAACGAGTCTGGGACCTGATCCCACTCAGTCGAAGTCAGTGGTTCGACCCCCGTTGACTTAAGAGTGGAGTTGAATGGGGGACCTATAGGGTACCTCACCGGGCGCTTCTTAGGTTAGACAAAGCAGACACACAGGATCAGAATTAATCCCACACTGAACGAAATCGGCGCCGCTTCTAGGACCGTATCGCTCTGCTGGAAAGTTGCCGCGGTGCCGCGCTTAATGCAGATAACTGCCCTCACCGAGCGGGTGTTTGGGAGGGCTGCAGCCTCGGAGTGACACCGACAGCAGGTGGTTGGTCCAGGTCTGCAGACGTTTTAAGGCGCATCTAGCATTTTTAAATCAATCAAATGATTTTCGGTTGGTGGGTTTGTTATTTCAATGGGTATTTAGCTTAAAGACCGCTGGATCCTGCTCCTGTCTACCAATGCTTGTGGGGAAAACAATCATTTCACTCATTCACACTGGTAAATCCTGCCATATCCCCTTGCTACAATGGTATTAACTGAGCAGCCTCCTTGGTGACGTATCCTTCGTGTAGGAGCTGACAGAGTTTGAAATCATAGTAAGCGAAACCCATGTAGGAGAAAACTGGCCAATTGTTTTAAAAAGATAGATAAGGTGTGTGTGTGTGGGGGGGGGGTGAGTTGTTTCCACACAGAATCATAGAATAGGAGGGTTGAAAGGGACCTCTGGAGTTCATCTAGTCCAACCCCCTGCTCAAAGCAGGACCGATCCCCAATTTTTGCCCCGATCGCTAAATGGCCCCCTCAAGGGTTGAACTCACAACCCTGGGTTTAGCAGGCCAATGCTCAAACCACTGAGCTATCCCTTCCCCCATACCCGTCCTTCTCTACTTGGACAAATTAAATTGCACTTTAATTCCCCCTTAGCTTGCCAGTGCCGATTCTTTTAAAATTAAGACTGACCCTGTTACAACTGTCCATCGGCAGAGCAAAGAGGAGAGGTTTTAGGGGTAAACAGCCACAGCCACGCATTTTAACTTCTCTGGCGGCTCTGATGTGAAGCTCTTCTCTCTGGCAGCTAGCCTCAGGCAACGTGTGTAGACGACGTGCATCTTGCTCCGTCAAATATGTCTCTATTTTCTGTGCAAGACGTATGGGTCCCTTCTGGGCCATTTACTCAGACAAAGCTCCGGATGAAGCGAAAAGGGAGTTTTGTCTGAATCAGGACAGGGCTAATATTCCCAAGATTCCTGGTGGGGCAACTGCTTGTGTTTGAAATGAATAAATCCAATAGCATCAAGCCATTTGTATGTTACAATAAGATGTATTCGTTTGGCCTTAAAAGGCATTTTCAAATCTGTGGTTAGCAAAGGGACATGAAGCGAAGGAACGCGCACTTATTTTTGATCATTCTTGCCGACTAAAAATATTACAGATATACGGGGAGCTGTAAGTATAATTCTGAAGATTTGCTTGAAATGCTGAGACGCTCTAGCCTGGATCCTGTTTCGAAAAAATTGATGGAAATTGGTTAAAAATATGTCCGTGCAAACGTGGCTGAATTGCAGTAGGTATCATACTCTGTAGCTGGAAACAGAGATCGATAAAAACCTAATCGGGAAATAACAAGCATTTAATACATCAAAGCAACATGAGACCTCATTAGACTCCAAAAAAACAAAAAACAAAAACAAAAACAAAAAAACACCAACCAACAAAGCCCCAAGTGAGCGTACAACAGACTAATTTTAAAAGGGATTTTTTTGGCGGGTCAGGTATAATAACGTCATCGGGTTTAAAGTTAGGTGTTTGTAGCAAACTTTGTGTGTTACTGGAGCGTGAGGGTCAAGTATAATGACAAACATGTAATTTATTTAGCACGTTTAAGAGAATCTTACTCTTCATCACACAACAATGAAGCTAAAGGTGAGCGCGAATGTTCAAAAAGACACTTGTCCTGGCGGATTTTATTTGCCCCCCAAAATCGGTTTATTAGTCACTGGAAGAATAATCTATTTCAAAATAAACTATTTTAGGTACAAACCACTATTGTATGTATTTATTTTACACATAGCTTTTCGCATGGCAACAGGAGTCGCATAGGATTTACAAATATTATCCCTTTCTCGTTCACCCTCTAAAACGGATGCCCCGAAAGGAAAACAAAACACACCCCTGGCTAGCCATGCTCACAACGTGCTTTAAGAAAACAAAACAGCCCTAGGTTGCGTCCCAAATACCAGTCCACACTGATGTGGATTCGCCTCCCTTGCGGATCCACCTGCAGTTTCATCCCAGAATCTTGATTTAGGAGCTTGGGGCAACGAAATTGGCTTGATTCTTGATCCCCTCGCCCCACCCCCCTCAGTTTAGCTCAGGAAGGTTAGGCAGCATCACCAGTTCCAGGAGACGATGGCAGGGTGTGCTAAGTGCTGGTAGGCCGGGAAGAGGCTCAGGGCAGCGGCGGAGCTGGGCTGGAAGGTTTGGTAGCCTTGGATTGCGAACGCAGTTTGTGTGTTGCAGCCCGGCTTGTCCTGCGCCGCCGCCGCTCCCGGGCTGGGGGTACAGCTCTGGCACGGCTTGCCATCCCTGACCAGCACCGGCACCATGACTCTCCTGAGCAGAGGGGGCTGGGGGAGGTCGGTGCTGCAGGACCCCTCCGTTTTAGCCCTTTTCATTTTGTACCTGTGGTTCTGGAACCAGATCTTGACTTGGGTGGGGGTCAGGCTGAGCAAATGGGCCAACTGCTCCCGTTCCGGCGCCGAGAGGTACCTCTGCTGCCGGAACCGCCTCTCCAGCTCCAGCGTCTGTGCTTTGGAGAAGAGCACTCGCCTCTTTTTCTTTTTCTCGGCTTCCGAGCCGTGGGGCGGGTGCGATCTTTGGGTGGAATCGGGTAAACTCGTTTCTGGACCGCTCTCATCGGAAGCTGGGGACAGCAACAACAGTGGCAGGGTTAGAGGGAGAGCAAGTAGCCGCCACCAGCAGGATCCGGTACCTGTAGCCCCACAGATAAGATGGGGAAGGGATGCTGGTGTGAGCAAGGTGCTCTTGGGACATTCTGATCAGAACAGTGAAAGTCACCATTGTTTAAAAGCCCGAAAGAATTCTGATAGGAATCAGGAGATTCTATCTAAAATCCCGATTTGGGAACAAATTAAACCGAAAAGATCGGATTGCCTTGCGTTTCCACGTGCCATAGCTGTACCGTGTGCAAGATCGAATCTCTGTATACAGTATGTACAATATGTAAACCCTGCAGAGGTTCATATAATCTGTATATCGGTGTGCCGTACGGTTATTGTAACAGCTATCATGTTTCTTTCAATAACTGCTGTTCCTGTATCTCTTTTCTTCTGCAGCTCCGAAGCATGGTTCGGGGTGATACGTTATTATTTATGATACATGCACAGACCTTACACAATCTATAAAAGTTACAGCTTAATAATAAATACACGGATACTTGTGTAGATGCGTGTTTCTACACACTCGGATCCTATTAGGCTACATACTGTTTCTATTTTGTACATGGGTTCAGATGGAAAATTGGAGCACGTGTATTATTAGATTTGGAACCCCTCCACTACATATAGAATTGCAGCAAGGAAAGAGAAGGACAATTCTGATAAACTTTAAAGCTTATGGTGTGTATATATGTGAGCATTTACATACATATATATGCGTACAGGTAGACCGATATATCTTCAGATCTCATTAACTATACCTATATGCCCTTAAGCGTGTTGTCAGTATTTTCCTGCTGTTTTATTGCCGCAATTCAACCACTGTTCTCCAAGAAGTCCAGACTGGCTCCTGCGGAGTGTTGGATTGGCCCCGGTAAAAAGGTATTTTACGCTTGCGATGTCCTGTTTATTTCATACTCACACAGATAATGGTTTCTGTCGCTTTCGATCCATTCCCCGTACGGCGAGCTGGCGTACTTCTCTGACGGGTGGCGATCAGAGTCCTGCTTGATGTTGTTAGCATCCTGCTCCGGTAAATCCAAAATGCTCCTCACCGTGAAACTGATCCTGCCAGCTGTGGCCATTGTAGGGTCGGTCGCCTTTGCCACAGACTCCCTCGGAGCTTGGAAATAACTGCGCCAAGCTACTCGGGAACCTGCGGACTCAAGGGGATGCTGGCTCCATCCCAGCCGAAGCCCGAATATTAGTGTCGTTTACAGAGGTGTCCTGTTTATATAAACAGTCCTCGCCGCTGCAAACACTGCCCGCTTTCAGACCGTCCCTGTCTGGGGGATGCTAAGTACCTGAATTAGTCAAGTGCTAAAGCTCTAATGGGAGTAGGTGTAACCCCGCCGAGAGAATAACCCGTTACCTCCCAAAGACAGCAGCAGGAAACGGGCTTCATCATTACATATTCTGTCTGATTAGCCCAAAGTGGGGACAGATAATGGTAATTGTTAGCAGTGAATAACATCTTGGGTGGTATGTGGCGACCAACAACCGCCCCCCTCCATCCACCACCAACGCCACCACCGTCCCTGCTACGCGCAGGAACATCCCCAGAGCTTGGCCAGCCCCCCGCCCGCCCCCACCCCAGGCAGGAGTTCATTCATTATTGGTTTTGTTCCTGGCCTTCATTGGGCTCCCTCACCGCAGCCCATGCAGCTAGCCCCCAGGCCCCTGGCAGCTTTGCTCAGCCACTGGGGGCTGTTTCACACCTCCAGCCGTTTGTTTCCACTCGAAAAAGGGGTTCGCTCCAGGAAAGGGCTTCACTCCCTTCAGGGATCGATTTGGCTGGCTGCTCTTGCTTTCCCAGGGGCTCGTGTAAACCTGGGGGGGGGGGGGGAACCTTTCCCGAGAAATAGCCAGTTCCGAAAGCGATGCGCTATTTTTAGCATCATGTGAGGATGCAGTGCTACGAGGTCTGCTCTCTCAAGCCAGGCGCTGCAGGGACCGAACCGCCTGCCGCTGGGGAAGCGCGGGAAGCGAGCAGGCGCAGAGTGGGGGTGGTTTGTCGCAGATGGACACAGTGTAAAAGGGACGGGGCCAAACAAGCGCAGGAGCAAAGGCTGGCTCCGAAGCAGGTCTGCTCCGCACTGTGCGGCAGGGCGTGGCACTAAAACGCAGCGGTTGCATCCGCCAGCTCGACTTTCCTCTTGTGTGTCCCACTCTTGGTACCTTGGAATGCATCCGATGAAGTGGACTGTAGCTCACAAAAGCTCATGCTCAAATAAATTGGTTAGTCTCTAAGGTGCCACAAGTCCCTCTTTTCCTTTTGTGAATACAGACTAACACGGCTGCTACTCTGAAACTTGGTGCCTTGGGAATTTTCTCTGGCCTCCACCCTGCCAGGCTGAAGTCATCAAGGGTGTTTTCAATGGACTTCAATGTGCCAGGCCTTGAGAAGGCTTCAGGGTAGGAAGCAAATGTAGCCTTTCCACATGTCCATTCAATGTAGCCTTTTCACAGGTACGTCCCCTCAGCGGGTCCCAGTGAAGCCAGTGGGCATCGTCTAATTCGTGCAAACTGGTATTTTGATAGAGACTTGAGGGTCAAAAAAGAGGCCCGGTCAGCTTTTCATACGTTAAACAGCAATATTATAGGCCTGAGATTGTCGGCCTTGAACTGCATGATCGAGCCATAAATAATCGATGTTCACCAGTTGGGGTCAACCCCGGTGCTTCTAGTTTAAATCGGTGGGATTATTCCCCGTATTTCCATCTCCTCAAACCAAGTGATGGTGGCTCGCAGCCCAGCCAGAGCAATCCCACGCGGATGTGAGTCACAAACCGCTCTCCCTGCCTAGGGCGAGCTTATCTCCAAGCGAGCCCCATCCGCTGGAGCTGGTGTCGCACCCAGGACGGGGAGCCCTATAGAAATAAACGTGCAAGTCTGGCTCCTGGTAAACAGAGGCAACAGGAGCCCTTTACAGGCCAGGCGGCACCTCGCTTTCCCAAGCAGCGCTCCTTTCATTTGGACCGCGTCAAAAGTACAAACAAACTTTGTACAAACGGCCAGATGGGTTAAAAAGTGTGTTCCGGGTTATGCCTCTGAAACATACACGGTCATATTTACATACTAGTTTAATCTCTCGCTTGTAGCGTTTCAAATGGGCCTGTATACACACCAAACAAATGCACCAGTACCCATGATATTAACCCCCCGGCCCCCCGCCCCACTGCTCTGGGTATGGCTTCTGGAAGCAGTTGCACTTGATAGGGAAAATGTAAACAGAGCGATAATGGCAAGGGAAGGAGACAGATTTATATCTGACAGATTTGTGGGCTAGATGAACAGGGCCCACAGCTCCCTTTGGCCAACTTCCTGCATATTTCTTGGAGACTGGACAGGCTCCATATAAAAGATTCCCAGGCCATGATTATTGGAGCCACCTATCAAGCGTGCCTGGTGACAGTAGTTATCTTCCCTGTTCCAAGATCAGCCTCCCAAACGTCCTGGGTGGTCGGACCGAGGGGAACACAAATACATGCCAACTGCTAGCCTGTGAACAAAGGGGAAATGTAGCCCTATGTCCTGGACCTGTTGGAAGCATTTGTTCCAGTCAAGATTTTGCATTTGTTCAGATCTGGAATAATAGGTGATTGACGCCTCCTCACAATGTTCTTTAACTCTCCGGGATAAATCGGAGCTTGTTTCTTGTTGTCATGGTTTTCAATAGGGTTCAATGGGATTTGAACCACTATCGACTCTGCTTTCCGTCTACTGCAGCCTAGTCCATACAAATTTATTAGTTATGTCTTTTTAAATGAGATTAAATTGAAATGCCTTGCTTTCCCTCCATGCAACGACTCATTCAGGGATAGGTGGCCCTGTATCTCCTAATCATTTTAATCCCAGCGGAGATCCATAAACTGCACTCGACAAGGTATGTATAGTATAATGTGTATTGTATTGTGGCGCTCCCGAGCTATGACTGATAACAGCTTACTGGTAGTTTGTAATGGATTCAGATCCCTCTGCAAACAAAGCAATGAGATTATAACAAAAGCATATTTAATATGTCGGGCCCTGGGGCCATACAGAGGCAACCAGTGGTGCTAGTCCCAATGAAGTGAGGCAATAGGTTGAATTGGAGTTGTAAAGGCCCCCCAAATAAAAGACACCGAAAAGTTACTTATTCGTATCTCGTATGCAAACATATTCTTACTGCGCTGGGGTTTTTTGGAGTTCACAGAGGCACAAATTTATACTGTAGTCAAGGTGGCTCTGAAATGAAGTTTGCCAAGCACCCTCTAAAGAAAGTGTAAAAAACTTTGTAAGGGAAAAAAGTCAGAGTGAGAGAAAGAAAGTCTCTACTTCAGTGACCTCTCTTAGCCTTTTAATCTATTTAACATCCTGAGCCCACGCTGCTGTGTAGAAATAAGTAAATGGTACTCTTCAAGACTTAAGAGCTCTTCAGCATCAAATATTTGCTCTTACTCTGAGAGTTTTTCTCAAATAGCACAAGAAACGGTCCCCTTATAACCGCTGAACCGTCTAATATACCTACCTATTGTTATCTCTTCGGAATATTTGCTTTCAAAGGAAAATGTAATAACCTCAAGTGTGCTGTGGCTTGTTTTGATTGGGATCTACTTGGATACATTTTAAATTCTGTGTCTCTCTCTCCCTTAGTTTTAATGTCTCCTATCTCAGAGTTCCACGTTCAGATGGAATACTTTTTTATGAGCGTTTAAACCACCGAGATACATATCCGTTTAGAAGTTCTTAACGTCTGCAGGTGTCGGTTCCCTGAAACAACCCTGCTAATCGGTGGGCATTTGGCAAATGGCGAGATCAGACTCTTTGATAAAGATGTATTGTATCGAATAAAGAAAAGGAGGACTTGTGGCACCTTAGAGAGTAACACATTTATTTGAGCATAAGCTTTCCTGAGCTACAGCTCACTTCGAAAGCTCATGCTCAAATACATTGGTTAGTCTCTGAGGTGCCACAAGTCCTCCTTTTCTTTTTGCGGATACAGACTAACACCGCTGCTACCCTGAAACCTTGGATCGAATAGTCACTTTCAGAATCAGGTGGGATGTTTTGCAAGAAGAGACGCAGGTTGAACAGTGCGTAATACTCCTAATATTGAGTTTAAAGACACTTATCTGTAAAGTTACACTACCAATTCCCAGGTCTCTGTAACTGCAACTTGCATAACGCTATACATTTTGTATGCCTCATATATACAGAAAATACTATATAATCGTATCACATTATAATACAAACATAGGATTTCTATTTCTCTAGGCACGTACGCACACACTATATACAGACAGTATCACGTCTATGTGTGTTTACACGCTCTGTGTACGTGTACATAAAAACACATACATTCTTGGCAGAATCGATGTCTAATTCACTTCATGGTGTCCAGGTAAAGAGCCCGATCCTGCTGTCATTAAAATCAATGGCTACATTTCATTGACTCCAATAGGAGCAGCATCAGTCCCAAAATGTAAAGGTTACAGTTTGAATGAATTCCTCAACTCCTCTCTCATGAAAAAGCTCCATGAAAAAGCTATTTTGCATGTTGAGTTGTCTGAGCAGTCATTTCACTTACAAATATGCAATCCACTTGGTATCATCGTGAATTTTCCTGCACATAATTCAATTTCAATAATGTCGCCTGCGGCGATGTTTATTTGTGTTGTTTATTCTTATTTCCGCTGCTCATTTATTCCAAGAATATGGTTTTCCTGTGGGTCTGAGAAGCTTCCTTTGCTTAAGCATGGAGCTCTTTTTAAGTAATTACTGCTTGATGCAGTCTGAGAAGATTTAGGAACATCCACAGAAAATCCCATTAGGAATGTGTCCCAACTACGTGAAAGTTTTGCACCCTACCCCAGCTACTGGCGTCTGTATTAGACTGAGGGGAATTTCCTCGCGGAGGGTGCATTCTGGATTTTAAAATGATTGCGGGTAAACCGGTGTCTTACAACTGTGCTATACTCTTCCTTCATACTGTATTGGAAAAGAGGGAACGTGATCTAGTCCTTGTAGTGAATTCGATCCAGAGCTGCCAATTTGTTCGAAGCCATTTTTACTCCGGCTTCAAATGAAATAGCTTGCGGAAAACCGATCCGCCAATAAAAATAAAGATATGCAGTTTTGGAAGGCGAACGATGATGATTTCCCCAAAAACCGAAGCCATGCTGGCGAAGGGAAACGCCCTTTGTCCTGTAAAGCTTTTGCTGTGAGAGCTCAGAGGGGTCTATGCTGCATTCAGTCAATCCCCGTTGATTTCCCCAGGCGTTTTGGTGCAGGATCAGGTGCCGCCTCCACGGCTAAAAAAAGCGAGAGAGAACGTGCTATTTATGTACTCTCTCTCTCACACACACACACTTTTCTTCTCTGTTTTAGTGGCAAGTCAGTAGCACTGGGCGTGACCACGCACCTAACTTGCAATCTTCCGAGGCCATGTTAAAAATTATTCATACCACCTGAGAAAATATGGGATGCTTTACTTTTTTGAAAGAAGCCATTTATTTTGCTCAGTGGAGTATTGCAAAGCGGGCTGAGTAAATCAATGCATCTGGGATGCTGAACTGACCATTTGCTCTCAAGTAGTTAGTTGTGTCTCCGCCTCGAACTAAAAAAGAAATGTTATTTTGGTTCTGGCTGAAATATTCACGTTGTTCATTATGACATTCTGGCGCAGCCCTGGCTCAGACAGCAACGGGCAGGACTGGAAATATGACAAGAAACACTCTTCTTGTAAGGTTCTCAGTCAATTTTACAGACCAAATACACTGGCGTACTTTAGAGAAAGTTTGGTTAGGCATCTGGACTGAGAAAACCTAACTTTATGAGGTTCCCTCTCAGTGGTGCACTCCTATTTCTAAGAGACATGCACTAGGATTTTTTTTTCCAGGGAAGACCTATGGCCTGTGATATACTGAGTGTCAGACTAGACTTTCACAATGGTCCCTTCTGGCCTTGAAATCTGTGAATGCAGTGCAGTATTTGGGAGCGCCACACTGCCAGAGGTGACCTCATTGGGCTGAGATGATAATCCAAGGTTCTTGCTCCCTTCTGATTGCTCTCCAGGAGCGAGTTAAAGGTCCCATGGCTCGTATTCTCAGAGCCAGAAATGTGTACTTGGACCCCATATTCTCTTTAGTATTACTACATTAATTTGTTTCATTTATTTGTGTCATGGCAGTGTCTATAGACAACAATTGAGGTCATGGTCCCATTGTTCTAGGTATTGCACATATACATATCAAGGGACAGTCTCGGCCCCAAAGAATTTACAGCTTAAGTAGATAAGAAAAAAGTAGGAGAAAATAAAAATTATTACCACATTTGGCAACTGGAGAGCTGGGGCATAGAGAAGTTATGACTTGCTTAATATCATGAAGGAGGTCTGGAGCAGAACCAGAAAATGAACAAAGATCTTTTGACTCCCTGGTCAGAACCTTAATTATAACCCATCCTTTCTCTTGTGCTGTGCCAGATTTTAATGTTCAAAGCTGTATATGATATATTATTGAGTGTGTATTGGCTGTTCCCTTTGCTTATACAGTCCATTTATTACCACTGTTCAACTCTTATTACAGTGCTTAGGAAACCTTGGGTGAAATCCTGGCCCATTGAAGTCAATGGGAATTGAAGTCAATGGGAATTTTGTTATTGACTTAAAGGGAGCCAGATATCACCCCTTCAGCATGACAGGTGCTGTATGAAATCAAATTATATTCCACTTTGTTGTCCTCATTCTGTGAATCTCCCTCATTTCAGGTAACTTTCCTACTTCTGCTATCTCTTAACTCACTTTTCTCTTAGAGCCTAACTCACTTCCTGTCTTTCAATCTTACCTTAAACTCATCCAACTCTCTTTGTCTTATGATTGATATTCTCTGTGGAGTGTTTTGTGATAAGGATGCTGTTTTGTAGTGTATATTATACTATGTCAGAAGGATGCCATTTATATCCAGTGTGTATTGTATTTGCCTCTATCTCTTTTCCTCCCAGAGGAATAATGGTATTTTATTGTCGTTTCCCCCATTCCCTTAGTAGGTTTATCTCTTTCCTCTTTATGTTTCTCCTTTATTTTCATTTTGTATTTTAAAAATGATCTACGCACACACACGCTTGTTGAATTTAACACAATACAAAAAAAAAATCAAAAAGCCAAACCTGAAGACAAAGGTTTCTTCCTATAATGGTGAATTATAAAGGCTCTAAATTTCTTTTACTTTTATCTCCAACATCCATGCCATATTTAAGGGCCTTCTACTGGGGCTGCTGGTCACCTGGGGAACAAATCAGATGAAGACTATATGTAGACAGCTGGTTTGTCTCTGGGCTCACATTTGCTCTGTAACCCACAAATTTCTGTTGTAGAACCTGATTCTGCATGGAAATCAATGGGACTTCTCTTGCATGAACGAGGACTGCAGGATTGGGTTTTTCATTTGCTTTCTGCTGAGTCTGTGTAATTGACGAGGAGGAATGATTTTGCAAACTGAACTCAAGAAAGCAAGGAATGTACAAAGGGACAAATCCTCCCTGCCCTGCCTCCTCTGTGGAGAAGGAGAAGGAGATTGTGAGGACATGAGCAGGGGATGCACAACCCCTCATGCTCTGCTCCACTGGGACCCTTTGCCTCAGCATCCAGGGCATGGTGGTGGATGGATCTTACACTATATGGTCAACAGCGTTCCTTGAGTGTGTGGGGCGCAGCAGCCATGGGAACTATTGTAGTCCTGAGGCTGCAGTGGCAGCTGCAGAATGGCTCCACTACCATGGCCTGGAATAAATATTCTATCAGCATCCCAAACCCCCACTCCCACTCCCCCCTGCGCCCACAACCCAATCCCTTTAGTCTGTGCTTAGAGTCCATTTGCCTGACTGTACGTAGAGTTCCAGATCTGA